ACTTGGGTCATGAGATATCTACGGATGGTCTAAGGCCGAAAGATGCGAAGGTGGCTAGTATCAAGGCCTGGCCACTGCTCGAGTCTGTGATTGAGGTGAGGTCCTTGGGAATAATGGGGTACTACCGCTTGTTAGTAGACAATTACAGTGCTATTGCAGCCCCAACGATGGATCTCACGCGCCTTTACACCTCTTGGGAGTGGACTAATGATTGAGAAAGAGCCTTCAAGACGTTGAAGTATGCTCTGACACATCATGAAGTCCTCAAACTTCCCGATCCGGAGAAGCCACTTGTAGTTACCATTGATGCGAGTTAATATAGCATTGGCGCGGTTCTCCAAGAGCAAGAGGGGAAGAAGTTGAGGTCGATCGAGTACATGAGTAAGAAGATGCCCTCCAAGAAAATAGCAAAATCCATGTACGGGTGTGAGTTCTACGCCCATTATAAGGCTCTGACCCATTGGAGGCATTATCTGTTGGGCAGATTCTTCATTGTGCGATATGACCAGTAGACCTCAAATGGATCAAGACGCAAACCACCCTCTCCAACACTCTCAAGATGGATCGAGGTCATTGATCAATATGACTTCGATCATCAGTATTTGAAGGCAGAATAAGACAAGGTGGAGAATGCACTCTCACCAAGGATGGATTTTTTTTTTTTTTTAATTTTTTTTTTTTTTTTTTTTTTTACAAAAGAACAGAACCTTACGGTTTCGGCTCCTTGTGTATTCTGGGGCGCATCAGTTAGGTTCCTATTCCATTGACAAGTCAAGGGAAATACGTTGAGAACACGCTCACTCTCCTCCCCGTTCTGGTGTGGAGGCCCGAAGGTTGGCATTGACTACTTCCATCAGGAAGGATGTACCACCCCTCACCCCTGCCTAAGTTAGGATCTACTTCTGTCCTATCTTTTGCTAGTCTGGAGTTTCGTTCACTCTGTTCCATCCAGTTAGTACCTCTCAACTCCTCGGTTGTCTTGTTTTCTTCCTGTGCTAGTAGTGTTGATATGGCTGCCTAGGTTAAATTATGTTTGCACTATGCTTTGTGAGGCTACGCTTGTTGCACTCCTTGCTAAAACCCTAGACCCTAGACCATCCACTTATTCTTGTAGGCCGTGTCTTACTCTTGTTGACGTAGGAATTTGGATTTTCGAGGGGGTTATGGTGGTGCTTTAGTGATTTTTCCTTTTGAGTTGCTTGGTTTGGGGTTTTTGAGGGGCTAAGGCCCTAGCCCATTAAAATGAAATTAGGTAGTTGGGCGTTCCTATTGTGGGTCGATAAGACGAAATTGTTTGAGGGCTATCTGGTGTTGTTTGGTTTGTTTAAACGGAATCGATAGACATTCTTGTGACATGGTGTCTACTTTGAGGCGGGTCCGAGGGTTGTGGTATGGTTAGTCTTTTGTGTCTCCTTTGTCGGAATTGTAATCTGCGCCTTGGCCATGTGCCATATCCAAAAAGCGGGTGCGGAGAGGCGCCTGGTTGGTATTTGCGAAACAATTAACTGCGAGGAAATAAGCCCTGCAGGGTCCTACTTGGTCAACCTCGCGAGCTGCCCGAAATACAGAGGGCCAGGCAGACCGTGGGGCCGGCTTGCTTTAGTGCGGCAGACTATTTTGTATTTGTGCCCACCTAAGGCTCTATGATCCGGACAAACAGCCAACACTTGCCACGTTGCACAACCCAGGCCTTTGGGCCTTGGGCGCTATCAGCAGAAGGCCCGCGTTCAGACTGCGGTCGGGGACTTGGAGGTACTGGGCCCGCACCAAGCCGCTGCCACTTTCCATTTTGCAGACGACAGTTGGCTGGCTGGAAACGTGCGACATCGCTGCTTCACCGAGCGCTTGCCGTTTGGATGCTGGACATCGGCGACGGGCGCACATGGGCGCTGAGGAGTGCTGCAAGAGAGCAGCACGTGAGTCAACCATAGTTAAGTTGTTCTCACATGAGGCCTGTGGAGGGTTGCACTGTGGTCCACAAGCGTGGCAACATGCATATGGGGAGAGAGAATTGAAGGATGAGGGGGGGAGTGAGAGAGAACATACTTTGTTCGTGTCGGAGTTTGCATGGACAATATCTACACGGACATTAGTTCTATTGCTGAAGTCTTATGATCGCATCATGGTAGAGGTAGGATAGCATAGGTGTGCTGGATTCTAGTTGGTTGCGACGCGCGAGTGCGGGGAGAGACATTGGATACAATGTTGATGGTGGAGATAGGATGAGCCAAAATTGACATTTATGTTCACTGAGAGGGGGAGTGAGAGAGAATACTTGGTCTGTGTTGTAGCCTGCATGGGCGGCATCTGCACGCACATCAGTTCTGCTGCTGGAGTCTTATGGTCGCATCATGGTAGAGATAGGATAGTATAGGTGTGATGAATTATAGTTGAGCGCTAGGTGCCAGTCATGGGAGAGACGTTGGATACAATGTTGATGGTGGTGATAGGATGAACGGATGAACCGACATTGACATTTATGTTCATTGCGTCACTCTTATTTGGTATATTTTTGGTGCAAGTTTGCTTTTAGTGTGACACATGCTATGTGTTTTTCGATGTGATGATGCCATTGGGATTTTTGTCATTCACTCTCGCTCATTGCCTTGCAAACCCTCACGCTCGTGGTAATTGGGCTGATTACGAGGGTCAGCCTACTCAAGGTGGCGAGACAAAGAGTCAGCAACTCGGTTATAACAACCTTTTTTATGCTTCAGCTCAAAGTCATAAGCATCAATCTCATGCAACCAGCGGGACAACGTCATGGACAATTTAGGTTGAGAACTAATGAATTTCAAGGTCTCATGATATGAGCTGACCTTAAAGTGGCATCCCAAAAGGTAGTGCTTTTGCTCAAGCCATAGAGCTCATGCATATATGTGAACGTAGCTACCTTGTTATTGGGCATTTGTTTTTTGCAATGCTCAAGAGGACGCAGTTCATCACCATCATCTTTTTGTAGCACTGCGCCATTTGTTGGCTCGCATGCGTAATGATTACGAATGTGAGTTTGGGATTCGCAATTCGTAGCATAGGATGACTCAGTAGAGCCTTCTTCAAAGACTTAAAAAGGCAAACTCACATGCGTCACTATACATGTACGACACATTCTTACTTCTTAATCTAGACACAAGGTGAGCAATGGTAAAAACATTGGGGACAAACTTCCTGCAATATGAGGCGAAACCAAGAAAGGATCGCCATTGTCACACATTCAATTGTCGTGGCCAATTGCGAATGATTTAACCTTGGTTGCTTCAGTCTCAAGGCCTGCAGCTGACAATTGGTGCCTAAGATAAACGGCGTTGTCTCTCCCAAACTCAGATTTCGCTAAGTTCAGGTGCAGTTGTGCCTCTTCCAAAATCTTAAGGACAAGTGTTTTATCCATAATTTTGGTGAAAATCAGAATGTTGTCAAGATAAACCACAAGAGACCTGTTGATAAGGACACAGTCCACGCGACTTTAAAATGTGGCCGACGTGTTCATGAGACCGAAGGGCATAGCGAGGAACCCATCACGTGTCTTGAATGTGGTCTTGTGCTGGTCAGCCGGATCGGCTTCAATCTGATGATAGCCAAACTCGAGGTCGGATCTTTGAGAAGATCTTGCAACTGATTCATCCCAACGCGAACCTTGTGAATTTCGTGCGGAGAAAATAAGTTGGCAGTTGCATCGCAATCAACCAATGCATAAATGTAAGTACGGTTAATGAGGAGCTTGAAGTAGATTAGCTTCACTCCCCCTTGCAAGTAGCCTTGCCCGAGCTTGGTCCAGTGGTCCAAGTGGTAATGAAGGTCTAACTCCTAGACTCCTCCCAAGACTTTACATAAAGGACTTGAGAAGGTCAACCGTTGGACTCAGGCTACTTGGAGGAACCTTCATCCATCAGCTCAACCTCCCTTGCTGTGGAGATGAAGAGTGCTGATAACTGGTCTACCCCCCTTGCCTGTTTCCCTGCAGGCGAAAACATTGTTGGCCACGGTATAATGCATGCGTTCTCCGGATTGGCTGGGATCTTTGCCCCTTGGGGAAGGTGAACTTGTCAGTTGACATTGAGTTGCGACTAGATCCCATGTTAGTAATGGCATACTTCTTCATGGCATTGAACTTTTCAGCTTCAAATTTTTGACTCCAGGGCTGATGTAAAGCAGTCCTTTTAAGGCCCACCTCTAAGTTGACTTCTGGATTAGAATCACCTGCATAGGACTGGTCCTCCTGGACCTGGTCATGCATAGCAAAGCGGTTTCTGCCTCCATACTGCTTGCATGGAAAATGCCTCGACTGCCGGTCCACACGAGAGGTGTAAGCCCTCAAGCTCGACAAACTCCCTCATAAGGGGTTGTTAGTCACTGGAGCCTTACAAATATAATATTCATGGACTGTGGCGCAAACACAGTCCAAACTTATGGATCGTTGTGCAAACGCAGTCCAAACACAGGCCAGGAGTGAAAGAGAGAGAGAGAGAGAGACGAGGGAAAGGGAGAGAACCATTTGTGACAGGAGTGAGGAGTGGGAACCTTTGGACTTAAGATGACAATGGTTCACTCTGGGCGTGCATCCGTTAACCTTTGGGTTCACCTACAAGGGCATACCCAACTCAACCACTCTAAAGAGAAGTCAAAGAAGGACGCAAGGCATACTTGACATTCAATTGTCTTCCACCCCGGCCTGAAAGGGAGGAAGAGTCATGATTGGGTTGTGAGACCCATTTTCCCAGCACTCTGCTGTTGTTCCACACATAATTGTCAGTTGAGAACGGGACACAGTTTCCACCGTTTGTAGCTCCCCACGAATATCGTATTCATGGGATGACTGGAGCCGTGTTCTCATTTTTTGCAAAAACAAAAAGAGTGGGCTGTCTCATTGGTGGGGTTTGTCTCATCTTCGTGGCCTCTCTTTGAAGGGGTTTGTCTCTTGTGTCTCTTGTGTGTGGCTTGGTCATTCATTTGCTGTTCCTGTCTCCTGGTCATTCATTTATTGTTAATTTTTCTTTATGCAGGCCATGTTAAGACGAGCGCTTCAGAATTCTCTTGCTGTCACAAAAAGAGAGTCAGACACAGATGCAATTCGAGATGCGCCTGTGAGTACTCAGCAAATAACTCTTTTTCCCATTGCTTCTGTATGCTCCTGAGACCCATTCTGATCTCTATAGCCCCTTTCTGCTATGGCCGTTGTGCTTTATTTTGCAACTACTTTCCCTCAAAAATAATGTGCTGGCAATCAGGAAGAGTTCACTAGGGAGCAGGAAGGGAGCAGGAAAAAGGGGAGTGATTAAGTGGGGATTTAGTGGATGAGGTGGTTGACCACTCCATTTTTTGTGACAACTGTGCAGACTCTGCTTTTTCAGTCTGTCTCTTGGATGACGAATCTGGCACCCGTAGTCTTTTCTTCCCTCCAGAGAAACACACCCAGGACTACAGATCGGTTGTGAAAAGGGAGTGGTGTGTAAGGAGTACGCGGCCATTAGGAGACGAAGGATAAGGAAGTGGGTTTCTCCAGAAACCTTACTCAGCTATCTTCAAAGTCTTTGAAAAAGATGCTGCGTCTCAAGTTCCTTTTTCCTATGTGAAAAGACTCGCCTTCCCGGTTGAGGTAGTTACCTTTCTCTTTGTTTTTGCTTCTGCTGTTCGTAGGCCCATGCAGATGACAAGAGCGCACTTGCGTTGACCCTTTGACTCCATGTCTTTTGTTGTTGTTCATGGCGCTGTGCTCTTATTGTCATGTGCATTGCACCTCATCAGGTATTTCATCCTTCATTATCAGAATTTGAAGACCCGGTGCGATACATAAGTATGATTCGTCCTGAAGCAGAAAAGGTCAGCAAGACAGCGTCGTTCTTGCTCTCGTATTGCCACCTTTCTCCCTCCTGTGGCCCTCCTCGCTCCTCTCTCTTTTCTGCTTTCCTCCATGCCCAAGTCTTTGGCTACCTGCAACTGTGTGCTATGTATAGACCTATATGTGTTTCTCAATGGGAAACTATAACCGGACGGATCACTGGGGATGCAATGCTAGTAAGGGGGTTTGGGAACGTCCATTTAGTTCCTTCGGACTTCCAGTTCTTTCGCACCTGCCTGCATTCTGTAAACGATGGCAACGATGGCAAATGTGGTTGCAGGTGACGTGGGGGCATTCACAGTCTGAACAGAGTTAGGTAGATGATCAAGACTGTGGTGAAGCAGAAGGAATGCCGTTCGGAATATGGCAGCTGGATAATGCCAATAGGTGTGGCATGAAGGAATGTAAGGAGTTTAGCCATTTGGAATATGGCAGCTCATCAATGCCAATAAGAGTGGCATCACTCCCCTGATTTTTCCCTTGGATCCAAGGGTTGCCGTGAAGCTAGTAAGTGGGGGAGGGAACAGGGGGCTTAGAATGTGGATGAAATCAGGAGGACACATGGGAACATTCACAGAATCCCAGGTGCTGGCCTAATATGAGAGGAGTGGATAATGAGTAACAACCGTCCACAAAGTACTAGACTGATGCCCTAAACCAGCCCTTGTAACCACTGTGTTGCGAAAACAGCAGAATTCTCATGACGCAGATTTCAGGCGGTCTGTTTTCATGGTTTCAGGCAGTCTGTTTTCATGGTTAATGGCATGATGTCTTGTTTTTCCATCCAAGCACTGGATGGCCCCTTTCATCATTGCATTAACGGTTGGATCAGTATGTAGACGCAGGTACCATTCTGCTAACAACAAAACAACATTTGTTTCATATCTTGTAATCTCATGATTGCAGTATGGCATTTGTAAAATTATTCCACCAAATGGTTGGCGGCCGCCTTTCTGCCTTGACATGTCGACCAGGTTTGTCACTCGACGGCAGAGGGTGCACAAGTTGCAAGAAGGAGAGGGCTTTGCTATGGGAAAGGAATACAGGTATTTTCTCTCTCCCCCCCGTCTGGCGCCTCCCCCCTCCCCGCCCTTCCTTCCTCAAAGATCTATTGGTTTCAAGTTTGCTGGTGTTTGTGCTGAATGTTGGCCGATTTCACCCAAGGTTCTCATCGCTTGCCTCCGACATGTGGTGCAGGGTCCTCCCAATCCAGATTCAGTTCATTAAAGATTCATTTCATGATGTGAAGACATGGTCATGTTAATGGATTTGTGTGATGAGGAAGAAAATGGAAAACCAAAGAAGGTGCTTTCCTTTTTGTTGTGTTTGTTGCGGTTTTCGCTCATCTTTTATCCGACTTTTCCCGTGTCTGAGATCTCGTACTCGTTGTTTTTTTAGTGTCTTTTTTGGCTTTTCTGCTCACCCTTTACCGAGTTTGTATGTTTGGCGTATTCTTGACTAAAACCAGCAATGCTGTTAAGAGTACTTAATACCAGTTTGGTTCATGGTTCAGAGGTTCTAGTAAGTGGTATAGCCAAACTGGTACCACCTTTCCTGTCCAATGTAGAGCCTCTCTCTTTCTGTGTGCTCTCGTATATGGTGACTGGTCAGACTTTTCCCGTGTCAGAGATCTCGTACTCGTGTTTTTTTTAGTGTCTTTTTTGGCTTTTCCACTCACCCTTTACCGAGTTTGTATGTTTGACGTATCCTTGACTAAAACCAGCAATGCTGTTAAACCACCAGTACCTAGCGGTTGTTAAGGCCCGTGGCTCAGCCTACCGGTATCCTGAACCTTGCCGAGCCTCGAGCTACCGGTAGGTACAGATCGGAAAAAGAAAAAGACAAAAAAAAAAAATCGACATTCTTCTGCCCCCCCAAAAAAAATTGAAAAAAAAGATGCCCGTTTTGCACTTTCCATGTTTGGGTCGCGTGGAGAGAGAGAGAGAGAGAGAGAGAGAGAGAGGGCCGGCGATTTTGACGCGGCACTCCGCGCAAGGCGCCGTCTCTCTCTCGCTCTCTCTCTCTTGTTCCCCTGCAGCTCTCGGGAAAGAATCTTCCCGCCCTTCCGGGAAGATTCATTCCCGTTTTGTCAAGAACCAGACTCTCTCTCTCTCTCTCTCTCTCTCACACACACACACACACTACTGCCCCGCACCGTGCAGTTCATATGTGCAAAACGGGAATGAATCTTCCCACAAACCCGGGAAGATTCGTTCCCCCCGTTTTGCACATATGAGCTGCGCGGTGGTGTTGAGGTGTGGGGCGAGAGAGAGAAAGGGAGAGAGAGAGAGAGAGAGAGAGAGGGACAGCGATTTTGACGCGGAACTCCCGCAACGCGCCGTCTCTCTCTCTCTCTCTCTCTCGATCGAGAGAGAGAGAGAGAGGGACGGCGATTTTGAAGCGGCACTCCCCGCAACGCGCCGTCTCTCTCTCTCTCTCTCTCTCTCGCTCGCTCGCTCGCTCGCTCGCTCGCTCTCTCTCTCTCCCCCCGGGACGCATCTATCAGGCCTCTTGCATGGGAAGGGAGGCCCAAAAAAAAAAATTTTTTGGAACCCTGGAGACTGGTAGCGGGCCTCCCAAACGATTTTTTGGGCGTCCCAATCTGGGTCGCTGATCCTCGAAGATCAGTGGCCCACCAAGATTCGACTTTGAACGTAGGTGCTTTGATTCGACCCCACCCCCACATGGAGTTGCCCCCCTGGCATCCCGCCGGCCCGCTCCACCTTCCGTCCCCACTTTGGAGTCGCCATCATCGACGAGATGTGTGACCTCAGTGCCCCTGCTTTGCAATACGTGCCCTCCATTGCCCAAGCTGCGCGGCCTCATCACCGTTGCCCTCCGACCCCTATGCGTAAGCTGCACGCCATCAACCCCCCCAGAGGTAAGTGTCTTCTTCTCCTTTTTCGTCTTTCTTCTTCTTCTTCTTCTTCTTCTTCTTCTTCTTCTCTAGCCACAGAGAGAGAGAG